TTTAGGAGTAGCAGCATTTTCTTAATGTAGATAAATTACACCTAATCCCTAGTAACAGTAGGTTCAGAGGGCACTATTTGCCCCCAAGGAACTTACTCTGGCCCTCTCCCCATCTCTCTCTCTCAGTGCTCAGCCTTCTGGGAGGAGACAAAACCATTTGTCTAGAGCTCAGCCCCAGCATGAGCACTTGTCCCTTAAGGATGCGTGTGTGTGTACTGTGTGAGTGTATGTGTGAATGTGTGTGTGTGCATGCGTGTGCATGTGGTGTTCAAGTGTCTCCCCAACAATGTGGGAATCTGGCAGAAACCCATTTACCTGTTACATTGGTATCTGGCTCCACAAAGCAATGTTTCATTGCTTTGAAAAATAAATAAATAAATAAAGTTAAAACCAGAAATGGCTTCACAAGAAAACTGGTTGGTGGTGACTGAGCGCCTCACCGAGGGTGAGGGTGACGTTAGGGCTGTACCTCCTGCCTCCAACTGGGGCTTGTTTCAGTGGCTCACTGGCTGATAGAAGGGCAGGTCAGCAGCAGAGAGGGAGGACAGGGTGGCAGCCACCCCACATGCAGCCTGATGCTTTCATTTGGTTGGGAAACAGTGTCAGTCAGATCTTTACTTTTCTCTTCTTCCAGAGAAGATCTTTGAGACAGGAGCCTCACCACTGCACTGGCTGAACTGGTCACTTCTTTTCATAAACTGGGAACAGACCCACAGGAAGTCAAACATGCCCTTTTTGCTCCCATTTCCCTTCGTGTTCTCTCTGTGCTTACTCTCCCCAGGCCACAGCCATATCTGCAAAAACAGAACTGGCCTGGACTCTATCAGCAAGTTTTTGACTCCCCTGAGGCTTAAGGAGTGCTCCTGACACCAGACTGCCTTCTCTTGGTCTCTTCGCTAAACTGTTTCTAGCTCTTAGATGATATTTCCATTCTTCTGGCTCTGTAGGGAGGACAGACTGTCATCTTTCTCAGCAACAGGCATGATTCTGGTTTGATGGGGCTGCAACACTCCCTGCCAGGGTCCTTCACGCTTAATCCAAGTTCCCGTTACAGTCCTGGCGTCTGCAAAACAGCCACCATTCTTTTCGGGACTCCCAAACTCCTCATTTTCAGGGCCCTTATTTCTCAGAAAGACGTTGGCAGTGGAAGGGACACTTCTCCCGCAGTTGCCTGACTATCTCCAGCTGCAGGCCAAGCAGAAGTTCCGGAGGGGGTGGCTATGAGGAAGTGACAGGCAGCTTCACTCTACACAAACCCTTGCAGTTTGAGAGCAGGGGTCCAGGGGAGGGTGAGACTGGGTGAGGAAGTCTTGTTCTTTTGTCTTTGCATTTCCCAGTCAGAGGGATGCCTATCAGACTTAGAAGCTGGGGAAGGGGCTATAACTAATAGCTTCTGAAGCAAAGCAGAGAAAAATTTATAAATCAAAACAAAATTTAGGGGCAAAGTCTCCTCTCTTTAACCTCAAGACCAAACAGAACCTTCTAGGAACAGGCAGAAAGGAGAGAGCTGGAAACCTCTCTGCTTAATGAAGCCATGCACGTGAATAATTGTTAAAAGACTAAGGTGTGGCTATAGGCTGGCTAATCAGGAGACAATAAAAATCAAGTGTACCAAAAGCCAGAACTTAAGCTGCACTTACTATTTCAAGACCTCTGGTCCTCAGCACAGGCTGCCTTTCTCCTGCCACACAAGGGTTCAGAAAATTTGACTATTCTGGTTTACAAGGTCATGGGGAAAGTTCTACTTTAGGTGGAGAGTAAACATCACCCAGTTCACGGTGGATGAGATTCGTTGATTTTACTAGGGTGTGATGATGACAGGCACCAAATGTCAGTCCTGCAGGAGTCCAGCATGAGGCCCAGTTCAGAAAGACCTCAGACTGGGCACTCACCCGAAACACCTTTCCTTCACAGCAGCGCAGGGCAAAGTGCGCCGGTCACTGCAGACACTGTTCCTATGGGGCAGGGAGGAAGGCTAGCTGGTCTTCTTGACAGAGTTGACTAGAAGGGAGAACGGAGCCTTTGGGTGTGAGTGGTAAAAAGCAAGGGAACTGTACTTAGGCAGGACCCTGGGAGTACCTGGAACAAGCCCAGCCTGTAGCCCATGCTGTTGGTCAATGAGATCTGTCGATGCAGTTGGAAAGTCCAAAAGGAAAACAGAATGCTGCTCAAAAAGGCTGTACGTGTGTGTGTGTGTGTGTGTGTGTGTGTGCACGCTCAGTTAAGATTCCAAATTTTATCTAGGGAACAAATGTAAAGCAAGAACAGATATCAATCTACAAGGGCTCCCCTCTCCATCATAGCTACATCTTAGTGGCCCAGTGGCAGACATTTTGGGAAACTAGACACTATTTCTGGTAGATCTTGATGGCACTGAGAAGGAGCCAAGAAAGTTTGGATGGGTTGGGCGTGGAGAAACAGGAGGAAACTTCTGTTTCTAGAATGTAAGTTAACCTGGGGGTTTCTGGCACATGTTTCCATTTAAATGAATCAGTCTATGAAAACAAAACTCATCTTCATTGAGGAATGGACTTCCCGGGTTTAAATTTCTAGTTTGCTTATATAAGTGCCAAGAAAGACTGAGCGTACACTGGACTGGAAGAGAGTCAGTGGGCAAATTCTGGATGAATGGTTGGATCCTCCTTTCCCCAAATCAGTCTCTTTCTGACCACCATTGTTGAAATCTATTCAAAGGACAGCATCAGTAGGGTGATGTCCTAGGTAGATACAAGCTGGCATAAGAGAAGCTCCCACAAAGTCTCTGGTTCCACCACCCCGGTGAACTCCTGATGCCGCCTCTCTTGTCCTGGTCCCCTCCACGGGTGCCACACACACTATGGGAGGTCTGGAGGAAATGCTGCCTCAGAGTGAAGAAAAGATGGAGAGGTGAGCAAGAGAGAGTTGACTCTTGGATGGACAAAGATTTTACCTGGTTGCCTTTTTCTAGGCCCAGCAGTTGCCAGAGCCAGGATTCCCTTCCCCTCCCACCAGGCCAACTCTAATCCCATCCTCTCGTTCAGTGTATACTTTCTTGAAAAACCACTGAACAAAATCTGTGCTGTGGGAGTGAAGAGAAAAGTCAGCCACCTCTCCTCTCCTTCAGGGGACGCTGAGACTAGCTCAGTGAGGAGAGAGGCCGCTCAGGATGTCTTGGGACCCCTCACAGTAAGGGCATTCCTAGAGAAATATCCAGCCAGAGAACTGGTGCAGAGCAGATAGAGTGAAGATTGGAATGAGATATGTCCTGGTCTCTCAAGTGAGATGTAGTACAAATATACCTATCATATCATTTTGGACAAATTGAGTGAAACAGAAGCAAACACAAGATATGCAAAACAGTTATGTCCAAACCTGTTGTGGGCAGTAGAATAATGATTTACACTGGTGATACCCTTGCTCATTTTACAAATTAAAAAAAAAAAAATGTTTCCCTTCCCCCAACCACATATAGAAAAGCACTTAAGAGTTCAAAGGTAAAGCTTGTCACACTCCAAATACAAAATGATTTACTTACATGCAGCAAAATATACAAGAGGTGAATTCAAAAACAAACTTAATTCAATTCATTATATTCGCTTGGCACAATTGCAATTCAATTTTAAAAAAATATTTGTAAAATACTGAAACTGACCTGAATTCAAGTATAACGGTTTCTTCAACAGAAACATTATCAATGCAATAAAACATTACACGGAATATATCGAAGCAAAACGCCTTCATGAGTTTTTCCCTTAGGTTTCTGTGTTTTTTAAAATACAGTTTTAATGCCAACAAGACTCACAATTGTATTTTGAAAATGAATATTATTGCATTGTTTTTGCATATCTTGTGGGACAGAAAATGCAAAGTTACTGATTCCCGTTTCAGAAGCAGAGACAGTGATTTGTTTTTGCTCTCCAATGGCCCTGGATTCAGATCTCCCCAGTTAACCCAGAAACGGGGCTCTGCACACTCACGGGGCGCAGGGGCGCTGCGCGGGCGCACGCACACACAGCCGACACACGCACACTGCACACGGAACACACTCGGCCGCTCTCCCGCACGCTTCCTCTCTTGCGGCACCCACGGATACACCCAGCATGCGAAAGAACCCAGCTCGGTCACCCATCTGTGCAAGACCCTATCAAGTGCATTGCTGATTACCTTTAAATTAGAAAACCAAACCAAACCCATTTTTACTACCTACAGAAACCATAACAAATTATTGGGCATACGCAATGTCTGGTAAAACTCGGACAGCGGCTCTAGGGAACCCTCTGTCGGAAAAGGAAACCACACCCGTTTAAATAATACGATCAAACCTAACCTGATTTACATCTGCAAGAGTGAGAACAGTAAGGTGGGTGGCTACCGAACTTCGTAAACACTCTTCTTCCTCCCCATCCTCCTGGGGAAAATAAAATTAAAAAAACCCAAAACCAAAAAAACAAACAGAACACCAACAAAAATTAAAACTGCAACATGCTGTCGACAGAAATGTCAAACCACAGAACAAAGGAGCGCTCGGCGGAACCCAGCACCACCTCGCTCGGCCCGAGCGCCCCTTCGTGGCCGCAGCCGCCCTCGCGGCGG